TTAAAACTTGGGTTAGGATTAGGGTTAGGTTTTTCTTTTGGTTTAGGGTTAGGTTTAGGTTTAAGGCTAAAAGTATGGTAGGATTTAGGGTTTTAAGTCTGTTAAGGGTTGTTAGGGTTTAGAATTTTATGGTTAGGGTTAACTTTTAAATTAGGTTTAGAACTAGTATTTGGATTAGGTTTAGGTTTAGCTTTAAATATCAGTTTAGGGTTAGAGTTATGGTTAAGTTTGGGGTTAAGGTAAGAGTTAAGGTTAGGGCCATGTTAAATTTAAGATTACAGATCGGTGTAAGGTTTGGGTTAGTGTGAGGTTTAGGATTAGATTTGTGGTTAGGTTTAGGTCTGGGTTGTCAGGGTTATTTCAGGGTTATGTTACATGCGAAAGGTGGTATGTGAGGAATCTCGGTCCCTCACACATTGCTGGTGAGAGGATAAAATGGTGTTGCTGTTCCAGAAAACAGTTTGGCAGTTTCTTAAAATGACACAGCTCATTTAAATTGGAATCTATATCATTTATTTTCTAAATAATAGATATCTATACAGACATGGCCATTATATTTTATAAACCAAATTTACAGTGAAGGGGGAAAGATAGTGGATGTAAAGTAACAGAGAATTTCAGAAATAGGGTTCTTCCGGTTCCTGCCTCTGTCACCCCACTCCCAACATCATTCTTGCATGCCTCCGGGTGCAAGCGTCCCTGGGAATATGGTGACAATATAGCAGTTACTTATAAAAAATGCTGGTGCCAATTATGTAATACTATGAAACTCAAAACTAAAACTACAATAAAATAAAAAAAACAATGTGATTCTGGGTCACCTATTTGATTTCTTTGGGGTTACCCATTTGCACTGATTTGAACCAAATTACCTGGCTTTGTCTATGAGAAAGGATGATTCTGGGACCAGATAGGTCCCGGGTGTGTTTTGGGCTTTTAATTCTGATTCAGAAACAGGATGTAAATTTCCCAAGGGAATTAAGAATCCTTTGGGGGTAGATCCAAGCCTTCCAGGCTCTCTCTGTGGTAACTATAGAATCACTTAAAGTTGAAGAGCCTCAGGCTCCAACTATATCCCTCCTCGAAGAATTATAGATTCATTTCAGACTCCTGCACTAGATTATTTTAAACTAGAGACTTGTCCCTAGTCCTGGTCAGTTTGGCTCAGCAGTTAGAGCATCAGCTCAAGGACTGAAGGATCCTGGCTTCTATTCTTGGTCAAGGGCACGTACCTGGATTGCAGGTTCAATTCCCCACCCCAGTCGGGGTTGTGCAGGAGGCAATCAATCAATGTGTCTCTCTCACATGAATGTTTCTCTCTCCCTCCCTTCCTCCCTCCCTTCCCCTATCTAAAAATCAATGTTAAAATATCCTTGGGTGAGGATTAACAAACAAACCAAAAAGACGTGTCCCTAGTATATAAGTCTGAAGTTTTTTCCCTCTAACACCAGTATCTGACATTCTTAAGGCTCCATCTGTTAGACATCTACAGTCAAACACACAAAACCTGTGACTAGAAAGGCTCCAATTATACTTCAGAAAGTTAATGTAACTATGTGTACTTAAGGCTGTGATCTGTACATAAATACGTATGCAAATACATAAACATAAATTTTTAAATGAACAGTATGAAGATTCTAGCTCTCATAACAAAGCCAACAAAATGTATTTTATTTGCAGCAAACAGAAGCTGCTCCAGGTCAAGGATAAAATGTATATGCCCAAAAAGTTGCATTTGTAAACAGAGCAAAACTTTCTCCCATGAATATGAAGGCACATTTAGGTTCTGTGGAAGCAGACCTGTTTCCAGGGACTTCTGGTCTGCTGGACGATGGCACAGGGGCAGATAAAGACAGTGACCATCTCCTTGCTCAGAGATGAGAAGGAAACAAAAAGCAGATCCTATCACAGACGACCTGCAGACGACATTGATCCTACACTGATGTCATAAACCCACTAAACCAGGCCACAGAGGATGCAGACATGGGGTGCAGTGAGCGAATAAAAATAGCAGAAAACAATTACACTTTTTTAAACCTCATTAACCAGCCAAGTAGAAACCCTATTTATTTTAATATACTACCACCTCTTTTAGCTAAGAAGCATTTCCTAAGGAGTATGATAGACACTCTACATGCACTGAGTCTTCAGTTTTCTTCTAAGTCTACGTCACTGGTTATCCACTGGGTGATGGTGGTGTTGGGGCGGGAGTGCCTCCCAGGGGACATGTGACAATGTTTGGAGACCATTTTGAGCATCAGAACTCAGGATGCTACTGGTAGCTAACAGGTAGAGGTCAGGATGCTGCTAAATATCCTGTAATGCACAAAATAGCACCCTAAAACAGAGAATTATCTGTCCCAAAATGTCCGTAATGCTGAGGTTGAGAAACCATGTCATGGTTGGATTATAAAAAAACTTAAAAATCAGTAAGTCTATGTATGAAAGCAATTAGTACCACTTTAAGGATTACACAGGAGCATTCTCCTCCTTGATAAGACAGCCCCAGATCTCCTAAACGTATGACAGATCCATAATGGGAAAATAAACATGATGAGAAATATTAGCACACAAATGAAAAATGAACTTGAAACATAGAACAATTATTTTTCTCAATTGATTTTGATCAACTGTTTCTACAACCACAAAAGCAAATGTGATTACACTTCTTATAAAGGTCAAATATGATACAAGATTTACTAAACAGTGTTAGTAAAAACAGCCTGAAATGGTAAAAATAGAACAATTTCTACATTAACCAAAGGAAAAAAACAAAACAAAAAACAGCCACTGATTTCTGAGATGCTCAACTCCAATAAGAGATATTCAAAGTTCTTTTCCCATATTAGCAAAAGGTATCCTTTTTGGGGTAGTTTTATGATGAGAAAGAAAAACATGATAAAAAAGATGAACAAAAACTTTTCAGGTATTTAAAATACTCTAATTCAGTACACGCTAATACAAAACGACAGAGTTATTCTAATGACATCACACCCACTGGGAAGCAGACTCTGTAAGAAATAGTAAAACAGAGCCCTGGCCAGTGTGGCTCCGCAGTTAGAGCATCGGCCCGCGGACCAGAGTCCCGGGTTCAGTTCCCGCTAAGGGCACCTACCTCGGTTGCGGTTTGTCCCCGGCCCTGGTTGGGGCTGTGTGAGTGGCAGCCACTCTATGTGTTTCTCTCTCTCCCCCCCTCTCCTTCCACACTAAAGATAAATGCAAAAAAAAAGAAAAAAAAAAGTCCTCAGGTGAGGATAAAAAATAGAAATAGTAAAACAGAGCAGCTTTCATCTGATTGTGATGAGAAGGCCTTTATCTTGCCCCTAAGCTTTGTGAACAGGACAGAAAAAAACAAAGAACGAAAAGAAGAATAAGTGTTTACGTAATGGTATCTGACTTATTACAGTAAGCAAAACACCTCAACATAACAAAAATATTTCCAAATGTTAATTAATGGAAATAATGATGTTATATATTTACCGTAATGACTCCATCAAAACAATCATTTAAGAAGACAATTAAAGTACACTGAAACAGAATTGGTAGAAAGGCAATTTGACCCTAATTCTATCAAATCTGTCTCTGAAAAGACATACATGACAGCGTATCCCACTTCTGGGCACTTCTAAGAGAAACCCAGAACACTAACTGGAAAAGACATGCCTCCCTGTGTTCAGTGCAGTGTTGTTTACAATCCAAGATATGGAAGCAGCCCCGGGGCCATCGCTGGATGAGTAGATGAGGAAGACATGGTATACATATACTATGGGATCTTTTTTCTTTTATCTTTTACAGTTGACATACTATGAAATCTTACTTGGCCCTAAAAAAGAATGAAATTTTACCATTTGCAACAATATGGATGGATCTAGAAGGTATTAAGCTCAGTGAAATGTCAGACAAAGAAAGACAAACATTATTATTTCACTTATATGTGAAATCTAAAGAACAAAATAAACAAGTAAAACAGAAACAAACTCAAAGGTACAGAAAACATTTTGATGGTTGCCAGATGGGAGGCGGGCTGGGGACTAGTTGGAAACTGTGAAGGGATTAAGAAGTACAAATTGGCAGTAACAGTCACATGGGAGGTAGAGTACAGCATAGGGAATACAGTCAATAATACCATAATAACCACGTGTGGTGTCAGATGGGTACTAGAATCATCAGGATGATCACTTAGTAAGTTACAGAAATGTCTAATCACTGTGTTGTGCACCTGAAACTAGTATCACATTGTATGTCAACTATAATTTTAAAATTTTTAATGTGACAATTATCACTTTATTCAGGAAAATACAAATACAATTGGAAAACTCTTGTTTTCAGGTAGTGAACAGACGCATTAAAGCACAATTCGACCAACCTATTTGCACTTTCTCCATCATCTTGTTTGTGATTTGGGGTGGGGAGGGTTCCTTAGGTCATATAAGAAAAAAATTCCCTGTAACAGTCACTTCTTTAATCACATTATTAAACAGCTAGCTGTAGGACGTTATGAGATAAAACCTGACCAACAGGGAAGTAAATCCATCACTGCTGCCAGACTAAGGGGGACCTAGCCCAGGTGCAAGGAGGGGCACATGACCTGAGAACAGGCTGAAAGGGATCAACTGCCCAGGGCAAGTTCACCCCTGGCCTGCAGCTCCTCGCAGCTCTGGCTCCTGCACCTGACTTCCAGCAGGAAAGCGGAGAACAAAGAGCCGTCCTGCTCCTCTGCGTGCTGACCTCTGCCGGCCACCCCTGCACCTGTCTCAGAGAGAGGAGCAGACGGACCAACATCAAAACATACCTGGACAAGCAAAATATCCAATGCAGGCACCCCTAGTCACTGGTAAACTAGGGCGCTTCCTTCCAATTAAGCTCTGTCAATTAGGCACTTAATAAAAACAAATGACATTTATGCAAACATCTCAACAATTAAGAAAGATGAAAAAAACAGAAGAAAGGCAAGATTTATATTTACTACCTGCATTTTATTTGGTTTTGTTTTTTAAATGAGATGTTATACTTTAGCCAGAAGTTTTCGAAAGAAATAGTATTTAAAAAGAAAAATATAGTATTTTCTAGTTCCTTAGAAATCAATACCCTTTTTAGTTTCATTAGCTAAAATTATTTTTCAGTGTTTTTAAGACATAAACAATGCTCAGAGATTGGCTGAACAAGAAAAAATTAAGAGTGCCTTTAAGTCAGTAAGGAAAGAACCGACTGACAAATAAGTCCATCTGAGATCAACGTATTGAGCTTGTATTTGGATACAACATTAAATAATTATGGCTTCAAATATAAAATATTATTCAAAATTCCACATTTCCTCAGTTATTCTCTATTTTTAGCCATGTGGGGTCTGAATAGTTTTAAATAAAGGAATACTTTTCATGTAGTCTTAGAACAAAATGCAAATGTTCCTGACCCAGAACTATTGATTTGGATAGTAAATAATTATGTTCATATGTACCACTGACCTGGTATTTAAAAAAGGAAGACTCATAACTGTCAAAACATAATTGTTAATGGCTAATGTCCTTTGGAATTTGCTATAAAACAGAAGATACAAAGTTTTGAGGTCTTGCTGCCTTAGAATCTTTCCAAGGTTTGGGTTAAAAAAAGGCTTTTAAAATTTTTGTCTGTTGTTGTTTTCAAAAAGCAATGCTCTTTCTCTCCAGTTGCAAGGCTCGTCTTCGGTCTGCTCCGCCCCCGCTGGGCTGGCTCCCCTCGGAGCGCGGTCGCATCCGCAGTCCCGCCGTCCCGCCGGGGCCCAGCTGGCCGCTAGGTCTTGTTGTACCAGTTCATGGAGCGCTTCACCGCGCGCACCCAGTTCTCCATGCTCCCCTCGTACTCCTGCCATTTCTTCTGCGGCTTAAAAACCACTTCACTCCGCCTCAGCTTCTTCAGCTCCTCCTTGTCACTCCAAAACCCTGTAGAGGAAAACATGACTCTCAAATTCTAAAGCCAATAATGAGTCCGCAAAGTTCATCCACAAACCTACGTGCGCTGCGGCAAAGGCAGAGAGCTGCCACTTACAAACACACCCCGAGTGTTCTGTGGCTTCTGAACTCTGTCGGAGGGAAGGACACGCGGGGCGGGGACGCTGTCGGCTCCTCGCTGCCCGGGTGTGCGTGTGGCGGGCACCGAGTGGTCTCCAGACAACCACCCCGTCATCGTTTTATGTCATGCTTGTTCAGAAAACAAGAAATGCACATCTTTTTCATAAGATTTTTTTAAAAGATAAATTAAGAATGTATCTTGAGGGAACAGGCAACGCCCCAGGATATGCACAAAATCCAAAGCTGGGACTTAGCAGGATAAATAGTTTCTTCTCGAACGTCACGCAGGCTCCTCCAGGCCCGTGCGCGGCGGCCGGCAGGTCGGTCCACGGGCCGCGTGCTGCAGCGACCGCCGCCCAGGAGCAGGCCCTCTGGGCGCTGGCGGCTCCTGTCGCCGCTCGGACCGTCGCTTCCTGAGCTCACAAGGCTTGTGAAGCACATGTTCTCCCACCAACCACACGACACAAAAAACCGCCTTCTAACGTTTGTGGGGTCACCTTCTCTCTGTTCACAGTTAGCAGTTCAGGCTCTCTATATTTAAAGATATTGAGAGCAGCTTAAAAAAGACTAAAAATAGTTTTAATTAGTAAATCTCAGTTAGATAAATCTAGTCATAAAAATAAGTATACTCTTAAAATCCGTATTTCCGGAACCTATTATTTACACCGAGGCTTACAGGTTTTCAAGCCACTTTGAACGTGCCTGCCGAGTGAACAGTGCAAACGGCGCATGCGCAGAGGTGCAGTCTCGCTACAGGGTGAACTACGACAACGCACGTGCGGAGTGAACAGTGCAACGGCGCATGCGCACATGCGGAGTGACCAGTGCAACCGCGCATGCGCATAGCCGCGGTCTCGGACCGGGAGCAGCTCCAGCTGGAGATCAGCTGTCCTGAGAGGCAAGACCACTTCTTGTGGCTGATGAAGTGTCACCTTGTTGAAAAGGTTTAAATTAAATACAGACATAATGAAGTAGATAAAACTCAAGCCATGATGTTAGTGTATGAATAATCTACCCATTTGTTATTTAAAGTATTTTAAATGTTCAAGAGAATCTGATATATTCTTTTTTTGTTTTTGTATTTTATCCTCACTCGAGGACATTTTTGCATTTATCTTCAGATAGAGAGGGAGGGAGAGAGAGAGAAACATCGATATGAGAGAGACACATCGAGTGGCTGCCACCCACACAACCCCAACCGGGCCGGGGACAAACTGCAACCGAGGTAGGTGCCCTTAGCGGGACCCGAACCCGGGCCTCTCTGGTCCGCAGGCCGACACTCTAACCACTGAGCCAGACCGGCCAGGGCTGACATATTTATTCTTATGAGGTGAAAACTGTAGAACAATTTGATTCTTATAAATAATGTTAGAATTTTTATAAGAATTTGATTTGTTATCATAATTTATTTAATTTGCAAGAGTTGTTTAAGTACTTTAGATTTTCCTTGTTACAGGTCTAAGTTTGCTCAGTTAGTGGAATTATTTTTTAAAATCAACTACATTGAATTTTTAAGGGTTGAGATATGCAAAAAATTTTAAATTTGTAAATGGGAATGACTATTGAAGGGTAAGTTATTGCCTTAAACTTGAACTAATCAACCATTAGTCAATGAACAAATAAAAGTATAATAATTTTATACAAAGGTAACAGGCTTTGGGGCTGTGTAACTTTACTGTGTTTAGTATTAGCCTGAAACTTCTACCTGTACACTATGCTGTTCTGCACCAACACTCCTCCCTACCATCCAGGAACACATCCAAATACTCCCCGTGTCCTGCGAGCCCCCTACGTGGCCTCCACACTTCTTCTTTAGCCCTCCAAATCAATCTTTCCACTAACGGTTCAGCAATCTGCTCAAATGTAGATCTGTCCATGTCCCTCTCCTGCTTCACATTCTTCAGTGGCTCTCCAGTGCCTTGACAATCAAGCCAACACCTCTTTTGAGGAATCCACCACCTGGCCCTCTGTGTACCTGCCCAGCCTCCCTCCTGGCTCATCGCAGCAGCACTTACTGCGAAGGGGCCAGGACCTCTACAGGAGCTGCCTTCTCCGTGGGACAGCTCAGCTCTTAGCCTCTCCTCACCACTGTCTGGTAAACCCTTAAAGATTGAGCTCTAGTCTAGCTGGTGCGGCTCAGTGGTTGAGCCAAGAGGTTGCCGGTTCGATTCCCAGTCAGGGCACATACCCAGGTTGTGAGCCCGATCCCCAGTGGGGGGCATGCAGGAGGCAGCCAATTGATGTTCTCTCTCCTCAATGTTTCTATCTCGCTCTCCCTCTCCCTTCCTCTCTCTCTAAAATCAATAAAGAAAATAAAATTTTAAAAACTGAGCTCTATGTTGCCTCCTCTGGGAAGGCTACACCGTGTGCTTAATACAACAACTATGTGCTGGTTTTTCACACCAGATTTAATACTCAGCTGACTTGTCTGACTGCTCCCCCGAGACTCCCGTAGCAGAGGCTGCGTCTTTCAAACCCCTCATTCCCAGAAGTGACTGTCATGTGATGGAGCGTAACCAATGCTCAACACATAGAAGAGTGGAGTTGTTTCTGATGCCAAAGCAAGCCCATCTACTCAGGGAGTTTGCCCAGAGACCCTGCCTTGCTCAAGGCCACAGCAGCTGAGAAGGAAATGTCCTCTCTCGAGCTGAGGGCTGAGGGCTGAGGGCTGAGGGGGGAAGTGAGGATGGAGGAGAGCACAGGGCCCACCCACCAGGAAGGCCAGGAGTGCTCTGGAGTCGCGTGTCTATGCTCAGGGAGCTCAGTGGACACCAGGGTTTTCTAGACCCTCTCTGTAATCTTATAGTTTGGGAGGAGAAAGGCTGTCTGTAAGAAACTGTGCAAGAGAGCTCTTTTTCAGAAAATCCACACGTACCAAGAGCAAGGCCAGCTAGAGAAGCGGCACCGAAGCATGACATATCAAGGTGGACAGGTCTGTCTATATCCTCATTGATCAGGTCCGACGTCATCTGCATGACAAAACTGTTCTTACAAACTCCGCCGTCTGCCCTGTGGGGAGCAAGATATTTGAGATAAATCATCCCAACAAAAGCACAAAAAAATTATTAATTTTTTAAAAAGGGTCCTGTATTTTTTTAGATCCCTGATTTTACTTTTTAATTCCAAAATTATATCACTTAGCCTTGACCTGCAGACACAGGACCTTGCTCAGTAATCCTGAAACATGTTTCCTTATTCCGGCCATCAGTTTTCCCACCTGCTCTATTTGTCCCGAGGATTAGTTCAAAACAGGCCAGGTGAACTGAGCCGACACAAAAATTCATTTGGACTTTCTAGCAAAGAAAATGTGATGCTTCTATGCCAAAAGATAGCCACACACCCAAAAAAGAGATTTTAAAGATTTTTACAATATACATATGGGTGCTAAGATCCTCCCAAATTCCATATTATGTTATATTCTCCATAAATCCAAATTCGACTTTCCTTTCCTCTCCAAATTCCTATGATCAAGATTTTGTGGTAAAGAAGCTAGGTTTAGTTCTTTTGGAAATCTTGAATAATGCTAATGATGAAAATACTAATGGCAGCTACCATTTACTTCTAATTTATAATCCCATCTATTAGAATCGAAGTTCACATACCGGATTTTTGTTACAGGAATAGGGATCTCTTTCTGCATCACCTCATATAACTGTTTGTTTCTAGTTAAAAAAATAAAATAACTATTTAGAGGAAATTGAAATCAAAGCAATTCTCTATTTTTTCTAATCTAAAAAAATGAAAACAGTTGTTTTATTTACATGACATATATGCAAAAAGGTATTAAATAAATCATCCTGCTAACTGGAAGCAGGTAACAGGTGCCTGAATAAACAAGGGGCCCAGGGCCTCATGCTTCCTGCCGCCACACAAAAGAGCACGGTTTTTATTTTCAAACTGAATTTTATCTATAACCATTCCTACAAGTAAAAAAAATAATAGATGGCTATTAAGATGGCATGCTATAAATAACATCTAATAGAATTCATCAAATATAAAACTAATCATTTAATAATTATAGAGAATTTTATTTTAAACATTAAAATGTTCCATATTCATGACAGCCACATTCTTAATTTTAATGTTATGCCTGTCCCATAACAAAAAGAGCGCAGGAAAATATACGTAAAGAATAATTCTGGCCCAGCCGGTTTGGCTCACTGGTTGAGCGTCAACCCATGCACCAAGAGGTTACCGGTTCAATTCCTGGTCAGGGCACGTGCCCAGGTTGTGGGCCAAACCCACAGTGGGGGGCATGCAGGAGGCAGCCAATTGATGTTCTCTCTCATCAATGTTTCTATCTCTCTCTCTCTCATTTCCTCTCTCTCTAAAATCAATTTAAAAGTATTTAAAAATAAAAATAATAAAAGAATAATTCTGATAATTTTTGAGTATCACAAAAGCATATTAGAATTCTACTTCATGAATACAAAAACTTTTGAAAGTCCAAATTTTGAATCTCTAAAAATGATTAAATTTCAGATATCAAATCTAAGGGGTACTCGTACTATTTAATAGCCTCTTAAAAAATAAGAGGCTATAAAAAGTATCAGGAAGAAGAGATTCCATCACATGCAGACAGAAACCTTGACTGAACTCGGAGGTGCCCAGCTCCGCAGAGACAAGGCGAGGGGACCAATGCTGTGGGGAGAAGGGAGTTCAGAGCGCGGTACCTGAACGCTATGGACTCCAGTATCGCCCGTACAAGATGGTATTTCCTCGTGGACGCCTTCAAACCCATAAAAGAGGCACAAGCACAGGGGTCATTTAATGGAGCCTAAAGTGAGAGATAGTGAGAATCTATTATTATTGCTCTAGATCCATCTATAGACTTAAAGACATATAATACAATAAAAACACGACTGTGTTAGAGAAAAAAATCCCTATTACAGTTAAGTAGTTTTAAAATACACGATAGCCCAAAATTATGTTAAATATCAGGATAACTTTTTAACATGACTTAGGCAAGTCTGAGTCCCTGACCCGGGACCTTCTGTTTGCGCTCAGAGCAGGAAAGGGCCGTCTGTGGCGGCTGTGAGTGGTGGCCGCGGCCGGGCTTGTGCTGAGGACGACGGGACGCAATCCTGGCCCCCTTCGGAGGACTGTGAACTTTCTACCCCAGAGCTGTTTACGATGTAATGCAGCTCTCTGAGGATACGTTCGCTCAAGTTAAAGAACAATATTGCAGAAAATATGCTCTTCAGTGTAGTAACTTACACCCAAATGTCATCAGACACTCAAGCTAAAGTCTTCAATTTCTTAGCTTATAGTCTTATTGCCTAACATGAAGCAAAATATTGCCCTGGCTGGTGTGGCTCAGTTGGTTGGAGCATCTTCCTGGGCACCAAAACGTTGTGGGTTCGATTTCTTATCAGAACACATGCCTATGTTGCAGGTTCGATCCCCAGTTGGGGGGATGTATGGAAGGCAACCAATCGATGTCTCTCTCACTCTCTCTCCATTCCCCTGTCTCTCTAAAATCAATGAACATATCCTTGGGTGAGGATTAAATAATTTGTTTTTTAAGGTGAAAATCTTGAGCTGGATGTTTTCCTCAGATGAAATTTATACTCATCTGCATCCTCAGAAATGCAAGACAATGCTGGGACGGAAATCAGACTCCTGCCCCAGCTTGCAGTCACGGGGAAGCAGACAGTTCCAACACTGCATGAGGTCGTGACAGGGACACGCCAGTGTGGTCAGGATGACGGTCCCCAGAAAAAGCCCCTGTTGGCTTCGAGCACTGACACATAATTTTTTTTACCTGAAAAAAATCTCTTTACCTGGAAAACCTCCTACCACCCCCTCCTCCTGGTTAATCCTATTCCCCTTCGTAATCTCGGCTCAGTGTCCTCTGGGAAAGCTGACCCAGACTAGGCCAGACCTCAATTACAGGTTTCCGTGATGCCTCGAACTTCCCATCATCTCATGTGCCAGTTTATGACCACATGTACTTGTGTGATGTTGAAACTCCATTGTATGTGGCCCTCCACGGGGGATCAATATACATCTGTTGATTGATACACATTCATTGAATCAATGAACAAACAACACTTTTCCTAATTACTTAACTGAAGAAAGTCTACATTATAGCTTATCTTTAACTGATTTCTCTCCTATTGTGAATTTATCTTGATCATTTTCAAATTCATTAACATCTTTTGATGATTCACTCAGTGAGTCATACAGGGAAGCTGGTCTATAGCAGGTGGCAGAACCCTGTAAAACAAAGACAGGTCAGACTGCCAGTTCACTTGGTCCCTAGTATGCTATGGGGTTTCTGCGTAAAATTATTTCCTCTGATACACCATAAGAAGGAAGTTGTACTAGCCTCCCCTGACCACTCCAGGACACTGTGGCCCCTGTCAGCGGACATGTCCCTGTCCCCGCATGCTTAGGCCCACATCAACATCGCGCTGTATTTCCCACTGAGAACACTCAGACACCCCAGCCACTCACAGAACCAGCGCCAGCACTCGAAGCACTTGCTGGCCACACTCCCCTCTAAGGAGGCCACAGGCCCTGTTCCCGACAGCAGCCGTGTCTCAGGCCCTAGTCCGACGGCCACTGCACGACAGAAAGGACTGACTCAAAGTCTGTCCTAAGCAAAGAAAGCAGTCTCCCTCCCTGGAAATCTGAACCGGGAAACACTGAGGAAAGACCATTAACGGGAACTAAGGATGAAGCTAAAAGGATGCAAAGGGTGGGAAAGGTTGTGTATATCTCCAAATCGTGGAGAAGCAGAAAGTACAGCGAACAGAAGGACAATTAAACGGGAGTTATGAGGAAGAAAGGACAGAGCTAAGCTGCTGATGAGAAGAGAAAAGCAGATCCCCAGAGAAGCAGGAATCACAGAGAACACCCAGAGCTGCATGGTTGGTTGTCGAGCCCTTCCCGCCCCAGGCCTGGTCTGTGAACACAGCAGCTGCTGGGCCCTTCCCACCCCAGGCCTGGTCTGTGAACTCAGATCCTGGGCCCTTCCCACCCCAGGCCTGGTCTGTGAACACAGCAGCTGCTGGGCCCTTCCCACCCCAGGCCTGGTCTGTGAACTCAGATCCTGGGCCCTTCCCACCCCAGGCCTGGTCTGTGAACTCAGATTCTGGGCCCTTCCCACCCCAGGCCTGGTCTGTGAACTCAGATCCTGGGCCCTTCCCACCCCAGGCCTGGTCTGTGAACTCAGATCCTGGGCCCTTCCCACCCCAGGCCTGGTCTGTGAACTCAGATCCTGGGCCCTTCCCACCTCAGGCCTGGTCTGTGAACTCAGATCCTGGGCCCTTCCCACCTCAGGCCTGGTCTGTGAACTCAGATCCTGGGCCCTTCCCACCTCAGGCCTGGTCTGTGAACTCAGATCCTGGGCTGACTTCAGGAAGCCTGTTGGTTACAAACCTAAGAGCCCTCAGGGCACTGGGCTCACATCCTGTCCACTCTCCTGCTGCCACCATCACAGGAACTTTCTGCCTCTGACACCTGCTGTGACTACACCACGTCAGCATCCCCTCCCCTCCCCACAGCCCTGCTAGAGCAAAGCCACTGTGACTATACCAACTGATGCCACCCGCGCACTGCCTGATACTCCCTGTCCCTTCTGCCCCACACACCCTCGCTCTCCTCAGAGCCTCTCCCGTGACCCTTTCTTAGCAGACTCCCTTGAGAAGCTGAGGCTATTAGGAGCCTGTACCATCCCGCCCTCCATTCTCTACAGCTGTGGCAATATTCTAAAATTAAAGACCGTATCCCTGATACTTGCCCCTGCTTCCTGCCATTCCCCCACCCCTCATTTTCTCCACTGGCTGATATATGCAGCTAACAGGCATCTCTCCCCTATTTTCCAAACAGCTCGCCATCAATACACTACAGCTGTATGAATTAACTTTCCGTTTCCGGTTAATACTTCAGTTCACAGTGGGAAATATTTGCCTTTGCAGGCCTCCCTCACCCCTCCCGACCCCAACATACTGCCAAGTTGCAGTCACGGCAGGACGGGCATTTTGTACCAACGTGATATTTAAAACCACATCTGTAATGATTTTCTCTAATCTTTTGGGCTTTAGTAATACTTTGCTATCTTATTACATATTATTTTTTACAGGTATATGAATTGATAGAGAAGGGAAACACAGAGTTGACAAGATACAATCATTACAAAGTCCACAGGACATTTTTAAAAATGGGAGGATGCACAAAACCTAATTCAATCCTACCTCCGCTGATCACTAGTCATCTCACCTTCCTCCTTAACTTCAGTCAGACAGACATGCTCCACACCCTGCGCTAGGTGGGTGGTTCGAGCTGCCTCCCATCATCCTGCAGGAGGCAGCGGGGCTCCAAAGGTAGCTTATGAACTTCAGGTACAATATACAGAAGGAAATTAGGACAGATATTAAAATAATAATCAATTTAAAAATCTAGTTTGGAAATATGGCATATTTAGAGATTTAAAGCATTCTGATCTATTTTTTTTTTTTTTTTTTACCAGCTTCTAAATTCTATGATCTAAACTTCTGAATGTTTTACTTTTTTATAACTGATTGCCAGAGTAAGGGATGGACTAGAAGGAAAGGAGATTTTTATTCTTTGAAAGGAAACAATATTTAAAGGGAGATTAAAAGGATGGGTATAAGCTTAAAACAAAAAAAGAAAGGGAAATTTGTTCATAATAATATACCTGAGTTTTTTACAAAGTCTTTGTAACAATATGCTAACATTAAAGGTAGTACCACAGATCTTTCAACTAAATACAGAATTAAATATTACAAAATCAAGTCTTTCACTGGGTTCACTTTTTGATTAGGTAGTTGCCAATAATGTATCACAATAAGAAATTTTGATTTTTTAAGAAAAAATTTAATTTATAAAGAACTGCAAAATATACACACACAGATGTGTATGTGCCTTTCTGTTATTTTTCTAATTCACAGTGATATGCTTCCTCTAAGTCCTGATCTATTTACCTTCACTGGGAAATGACTATTTTGGTCATGATAAAACAATCCCAGGTCTCATATAAAAGTTCTGTGATAACCCTGCCAACTTCTAGTTTCCATGGGGTGGGGTTCTCAGCAGGAGCCCACTGATTTAGCTGTGGAATCCATGCTAGGTCCAAGCTGAGCTTCCTGGACCCCAAAATGGACCTTTCCCCTTAGTTCTATTGAGTACCCACATGTTCAGGTAAAGGAGTGGCAGATATAAAATTTTAGGTGTGGATATGAGGAGAGAAATGTTTAATTGCCATTAACTATGTCTTACATACCTGCAATCCACTAAAACACGGAACAAAATAAACTCCTTCAGAATCTTCCAGACTTCTGGCCATTTTTTCCGTTTCAGCAGCATCTGTGAAAAGATCTGCAAACACAAAAACAACAAACAAACAACAACAAAAAAGTCTAAAAAAATGAAGGGGTTGGGGAGGGACAAAGAATTATGTTAAATGACTAGTATTTACCTCTGTCCACATTTATTATGAATTTAATATGAAAGCTTACTCGCTTAAAAGGGTCACCACAAAGGCCAATCTACTGGGTTTGGGAGCCCACAGAAGGCGAAGGAGTCAGAAAGCCCACCTAAGACAGGCTTGGTATGCAGCAGGCCTTACTTTTTCCTTTAAACTTATTTGGGCTGTGTGGCTTAAACAATTTTGTGTGGCTTTTGGGGCATTAAAAAAATGTATTCCCCTGAAGATAACATTTGTTCCACTTTTCTGATGAAAAGATCATCTACTTATAATAACCAAGAGAATCAATGGAAAAACTATGGATGTAACGGGTTCAATAAGGGACGGTAACATATAGATAAATCAAAAGTCAATCTTTAAAAACAAACGGCCCAGCCAGTGTGGCTCATTGGATTGAGGGTTGTCCCACAGACTGAAAGGTCCTGGTTCCATTCCTGGTCAGAGCACATGCTCGGGTTACGGACTCAATCTCCATCAGGGGGCGTGCAGGAGGCAGCCAATCAATGCGTCTCTCTCACATCGATGCTTCTCTCTCTCCCTTCCTCTCTATAAAATCGGTGAAACATTTAAAAAAGAAAGACCAAAAAATCAAGATCAAATTTATTTAATATCCTTTTTACTGATATATTACATATACAAGAAAATGCACAAACCCTAAGTGTATAGATGGATGAACTTTCAGTCTGAATACACCCAGCTAACCAACACCCAGATCAACACTTCTTTGTTCAACATCATGCTGTGGATTCAGTCATTTTGTTACAAGTAGTTGTACTTCAGTCATTCTCCCCCGTACGGTATTCCATTGTTTGACCATCTAAAAATAGGTGACTTTTTCTCTTTCCTCATAATAGTTACACCCGAGCCTGATACATGATAAGCAACATGTTGATGCTATTGTAATCTTTTTTCTTCCATTACATCTGCCTCTGTAGGAGCTGTGGTACTTAAATGAACTTGCTCCCCCTCCCTCAGAGTGCTAGATGCTCTTCAATAGTTGTATTCTCTTTGGGGTCAGGCTTATGGGGTTGGCAGGCAGTGAGGGGTAAGGTTTCCCTGACTATGAGAAAGATTAGGCCTTTCCCCTTAGCCTGGAAGAGGAGCAGTCTAGACCACACAGTAGTGATATCCACTGTTAGCAGGATGTCCCAGGAATGGGCTAGGCCAGCTCCCTCTGCACATGCCGAGTGAATTTTCTCTTGGGCTCAGTAGGCTGCCTGTACAGAGAACATCAGGGGGTCCTTACCAGCCTCTAGTATTTTCACCAGTGACACTCAGGTCAGTCTATTTGAGAACCCAAGGCTTCATTCATGTTTGGGCCCCACTCCAGCTTCAACAGTGAGCCTTACTCCTCTTACTGTTTGTCACCCAGCAGCAAGAGGGAGACAGGACCGTGAACAAAGGCCCTACACACTAGCAGTAACATGTAACTATTCACCACCACCTAGAATTAGTTCATATTTCAGAGAATGTTTACCTCATCTCTTCTAATGAGCGAGCCTGTATCTCTCTTAGGAAGATACCCTTAGAGAACAAACCAGTTTTCTTACTTTGACTAAATGAGAGTCCTGGGTAATTTTAAATGTGTCCTGGAAATCTTATGGGGATTGTCTGAAGAAGGCAGATGTGACATGTAGCAATTAAAGGTGGCACTGCTAGGGGAAAGACGTCCCTTGAGTGATGTTGCTGGAGGGCATCAGAGGTGGAGCTCCCTTAGTTACAGAAAAGAAACGAGGCAGACCTTCGCTGCCCTAGTGTTCTCGCCAGGGCTTCCTCGCTGCTCCTTTCCGCCTGGACTGCTGCTTGGGCAGCTGCCTCTCCCACCTACCCCACTCTCATTCTTCTTTCAGGGCTCAGCTCAAACATCACTTCTTTAAATAAACTTTCTGATTCTCCAAGTCTGGGGTTTGTGGCTCTGGGGACAGAACTGAAGGGACAGCTGCCAGGGTCCCTGTGCTGAGTCACTCTTCCATACTGCAAGGTCCATCTTTCTTAGGTGGAGCACTCCCCTTTTGCGGCAGCAGCCTGGGGGAAAACGATGGCCCCACCCTCGGCACTCCCTCTTGCCCCGCCCTATGGAGCTTATGCCATGCTGAGGGTACAGCCAGAGGCTCTTTCAGTGACCCAGCCTAACAAGCAGTCGGCAGGAGGAAGCAAGCAGAGGCAGAACTTGGGGTGCCATAGGACTTTTGCTGACCTGCCCCGGGCCCAGTGCTAACAAAATCTGGCCTTGGTGCACAGTTTGGTTCTTCCTGCACACACCCAGGCCCAGCAGAGGCAGCCACAAACTCTGGATCACTTGTAGCTCCAAATAGGTTGCTGAGGGCCAGTCATAGTCAGCATCTGACATTGGCCTGCACCAGAGTCCATCCCAAGAGGCCCAGAACCAACACGCCCAGGGGTCAGCTTCAGACAACACCAGAGCAAGATCCAATAAGTTTCACAAGCTGAATATCCAAATGGAGATCTTGGCAGACAACAAACCCTGCTCAGGAGAATTCTGAATTTTGTGGTCAGCACCTGTATAGCAGCTTGCATACATTGGTGGGGATTGAATCTCCTAGTCAGCCAGCCTGAGAGTCAACACAGGCATGAATAGTCCAATAGCAATAAAAACTCAATTACAACAGGAGGGCACACATAACCCCCACAAGGGATATTCTTGGAGCACCCAGCTCAGGTGATCAAGAAGACTGAACCACAGAGTCCCACAGCACACCTACTACATAAGGTCACCCCACAAAGACTGGAGGTCATAGCAGACCTACCTAATACATAGAAACAAACACAAAGAGGTAGCCAAAATGGGGAGACAAAGAAACAGGCCCCAGATAAAAAGAGCATGAGAAATCTGTAGGAAAAGAGCTAAATAAAATGGAGGCAAGCAATTTATCAGATACAGAGCTCAAAGTAATAAGGATGCTCACCAGCATGAAAAAGGACATAGAAACCATAAAAAGGACCAGTCAGAAATAAAGAATGCCATATCTGAAATGAAGAATACACTGGAAGGAATAAACAGTAGGTTGGATAAAGCAGAGGACTAAATCAGCAAGTTGGAAGACAAGGTAGAATAAACACCCAATCAGAGTAGTAGAAAAAAAAAAAAAAAAAGTTTTTAAAATACAGATAGTTTAAGGGACCTTTGGGACAATATGAAACATAACAACATTTGCATCACAGGGGTACCAGAAAAAGAAGAGAGAGAGCAAGAACTATCTGAAGTTCTTAAAAAACCACAAGTCCAGGAAGCACAGAGAGTTCCAAACAAGAAGAACCCAAAGAGGCCTACACCAAGACACATCACAATTAAAATGGCAAAAGTTAGAGACTAAAAGAGAACCTTACAAGCAACAAGAGAAAGACAGTTAATTACCTACAAGGGAGTTCCTATAAGACTGTCAGTTTATTTCTCATCAGAAACATTTCAGGCCAAAAGGGATGGAGATAAAATATTCAAAGTGATGAACAACAAGGATCTAAAATCAAGACTACGCTGTTCATAAAGGCTATCATTTAAAATTGAAGAAGAAATAAAGAGTTTCCCAGACAAGAAAAAGCAAGAAAAGTTTTGTTACCACCAAACCAATATTACAAAAAATGTTTAAAAGCCTGCTTTAATGTTAAAAATAAGAATAAGAAAACAGAGGAACATAGTTAAAAGAATTAAATGGCAATAAATACATATTTATCAAAAATAATTTTATAAGTAAATGGCTTAAATGCTCTAATCAAAAGACATAGCATAGCTGAATAGATAAGAATACAAGACCTGTATTTATGCTGTCTACAAGAAACACACCTCAGAATGAAAAATACACACAGACTAAAAGTAAAAAGATGGATAAAGATATTTCATGCAAATGGAAAGAAACAAAAACTGGAGTACCAATACTTATACCTGACAAAATGGACATTAAAACAAAGGCTACAGTAAGAGACAAAAAAAGACACCACATAATGATAAAGGGTGCAATTAAACAAGAGAATATAATCCTTGTAAACATTTATGTACACAACACAGGAGCACCTAAATATGTAAAGCAAACATTGATGGACATAAAGGGAAAAACTGATAGTAATACATTCATAGTAGGGGATTTTTAACACCTCATTGACATCAATGAATAGAACTTCCAGGCAGAAAATCAACAAGAAAATGGCAGCCTTAAATGACACACTAGATCAAATAGATTTCATTGCTATCTTCAGAGCATTCCTCCCCAAAGCAGGAAAATATACGTTCTTTTCAAGTGCACATGGACTATTTTCTAGGATAGATCTGTACAAATTCAGTGCAATTCCTATCACTATACCAATGGCATATTTCACAGAACTAGAACAAATATTCCAAAAGTTTATATGGAATCACAAATAAATATAGTATTGCAGTACAGACACAGCAATCTTCATAAAGAACAAAGTGGGAGGAATCACACTACCTGATATCAAACTATACTACAAGGCCACAGTAATCAAAACAGCATGGTACTGGCATAAAAACAGACATATAAATCAGTGGAATGGAACAGAGAGCCGAGAAAAAGACCCATGCCTTTATAGTCCTTTAATATTTGACAAAGGTGGCAAAAACATACAATGGGGAAAAGAAAGTCTATTCAATAAATGGTGTTGGGAATATTGAACAGATATGTATAAAAAAACTGAAACTAGATCACTTCCTTATACAATACATAAGAATAAACTCAAAATAGTGTAAAGACTTAAATGTTAGACTCGAAACCATAAAAATCCTTTGAAGAAAACGTAGGCAGTAAAATCTCAGACATTTCTTATAGCAATATTTTTTTCCGATGTATCTACCCAGGCAAGGGAAACAAAAACAAATGGGACTACATCAAACTAAAAAGGTTTTGTACAGTAAAGGAAACCATCAGCAAAATAAAAAGACAACTCACTCAATGGGAGAACATATTTGTTGATACATCTGATAAAGGGTAAATATTTAAAATTGTTAAAGAACTTATAAAACTCAACACTGAAAATACAAACAATCTAATTAAAACATGGGCAAAGGACCTGAATAGAAATTTCTCCGAAGAGGACATACAGATGGCCAACACACATATGAAAAGATGCTCATCATCACTAATCATCAGAGAAATGTAAATTAAAACCACAATGAGGTATCACCTCACACCTGTCAGAATGGCCGCCATCAACAAATCAACAAACAACAAGTGCTGGTGAGGACGTGGAGAAAAGGGATCCCTTGTGCACTGTTGGTGGGAATGTAGACTGGTGCAGCCACTGTGGAAAAGAGCATGGAGGTTCCTCAAAAAATTAAAAATGGCCCTGGCTGGTGTGACTCAGTGGTTGGAGCATGGACCTGTGCCTCAAAGGGTTGTGGGTCTGATTCGTGGTCAAGGGAATGTACCTGGATTGTAGGTTCAATCCCCGACCCGGTCAGGGCGTGTGGAGGAGGCAACCAATTGATGTGTCTCTCTCACATCAACGTTTCTTTCTCTCTCTCCTCTCTTTATCTCTCTCTCTCTTCCTCTCTCCATCCCTTCCACTCTCTCTAAAAATCAATGGGAAAGCTTACCCTTTCTGACAGCATGGATGGACCTGGAGATTATTATGCTAAGTGAAATAAGCCAGTCAGAGGAAGACAAGTACCATATGTATTTGCTCATATGCGGAATCTAATGAACTAACAAGCAAAATGGAGAGAGACTCACAGGCAAGAGCAGGCTGACAGCTGTTGGGGTGGGGGTGGGGTGGGGGTGGGGCTAGATGGGAGGGGTGGAGGGATGTAGCAAAAAGACAAAAGAGAAAAAAAACTCATGGATATGGACAACAGTATGTTGGTTGCTGGGGGGAGAAGTGGGCGAGGGGAGGAGAGTATAAGGGGCATAAACGGCCACAGGCAGAGACTTGACTTGGGTGGTGAACACACAACACAGCACAGGGTACAGATAGTGCTGTAGAACTGTGCACCTGAAACTTGTATAACTTTGTCAACCAGTGTCACCTCAATAAACGCAATAAAAGGGAAAAAAGACAAAAGACAGAAACCTTCTGATTCTCCAGTTACAAAAAGCCCTCTCTTTAAAAAGATATCACTGATCCCATAACTACTTGTCCTTCTTGGTCCTTAACACTAATGGTTTGTATCTGTTGTTTCTCCTAATTGTCCACTTACTACAGGTGCTTCTTGCCGGACTGCAGGCTCCAGGAGGGCAGGGCCTCTCCTCACTGGGCCGGGCACGTGGTGCTTCAGGCACACACTGAGCACTCCATCACTTGCTAACTGAACACAGCTGGACTGAGACAGCAAGACTGAACAAAGAGTGAAGGGGAGCAGCAATGGACCAAATTAAGTGGAAAAAAATGATGATCATGTAGGGACCCAAATGTGGCAGTTTACATAGGAAACCAAAGGAAAGAGTGAGAGAGAACTAGCCTGTGTGAAAAAGATGAAGAAAATAATGTCTCTCTGGTTTACAACAGCTTGTACGCCTGAGCTGTATCACCCTGAGGGGTGGAAGGAATCCCCCTCAGAGGGGAACAAGCCCAGCAGGTCACACAAGGACAGCAAGGCTCAGACTAACATCTTCAAGGAAATGACAGGGTTTCTCAAACTCTTACATCTGGTTCCTCTGAACGTCATGTAGTTATGTTTTTCAATATTCCCATTAAAGTGAATTCCATATATTCAAATAAATGTTGACTCCTTGTATGAATTTCAGACAGATACATACCAGTAATGCTGAAAATTTAAAGTAAATAATTCAGCTATGAAGTATCTCTTTCTCCAGGTTGACCAACAGTTCTGTTTTCCTGCCAAAGACGGGACTGGCCTTCAGGAGGGCATGGTGCCTCTACCAGAAATCCCATCACTGTGATAGGTCAGGGCCTTTTAGCTGCATCTCCCAGAAAAGAGTTTCCATCATCTGAGAATCACAATGGATGAGCCTCAGTGCAGATGGGCAGTGAAAATGATTCCCATGCACATGATGTCATATGCGCATGATGTCATATGTGCACTGTCATATGCATGTGATGTCGCATGCATGTGATGTCATATGCAACTTGAAGATGATTTTTTCTTAATGACAAATGTGAAATTATTCTGCTTTTCCTTTCCATCTTCTGGGAAGGAATAAAATTAAAAGGTATAACTAAAACAGAAGATGTATATAGCCTATAGTTTCTACTTCTGATAATCTGGAATTATCTAAGGATACATATCCAAAAAATTGAAAGAAATACATTTAAGAAGAGGAGTGAAGTGATAAAAAGTTTTGAAATAAATATTTTTGTTCTTGAGTAATCTTATGCTTATCATGTAGATGAAGGCTTATAGACAGGGAAAAAGAAAGAAAGGAAGAAAAAGATTGGCATTTTCCTCCTATAGTGTGTTTTCTGCCACCAGAATTATCTTTGTCTGATAAACATATCAGCTTAGTTCAAAACAGCAAAGTAGAGAGTCTAAGTCTGCTCCATAATTTAATCATCAGAGATAACCACGGCTAATACTTTGGTATATAACATTTCACACCTTATGCACAAAATATGGTCATGTAATATACTTGGCTATTTATTATTCACAATAGCCAAGAGGAGGAAACAACTCAAATGTCCATCAACTGATAAATAAATTGCCATACTCATACAATGGAATATAATTCAGCAATAAAAAGAAATGAAAGAACTGATACATGCTGCAACCTGGTGAACCTTGAAGAGGTTATGACGCAAGAAACCAGTTATAAAAGATCTCATGTTACATGATTCCAACTATATGAAATGTCCAGAGCAGGAAGATTGATAAAGACATAAAGTAGCTTAATGGTAGCTTAGGAATGGAAGGTGGAACAGGGACTTGCTACTAATGGGTATGGGGGTTTTTTATAGGGGGAACAAAAATGTTCTAAAATGAGATTGTGGTAATGGTTGCACAATTCTGTGAAAATTAAAAATTGTACACTTTAAATAGGTGAGTTATATGGTATGTGAATTATATCTCAATAAAGCTACTTTTTAAATAAGCAAAAAATACTTACACATGCAACTGCTTCATTTCCTCCTTACAGTATGATAGACAATATTCCATGTCAATAAAATAAGCAACTATACTATTATTTGTGAGTGTATAATGTTCCACTACAGTCGTCTCTCATTTATCGTGGCTAATCCATTCCAGACTCTGGCGGCTGCACCTGGCGTTGAAGGATTCCTGGGGTGCTCACATACATAGGCCTACAGTCCATACGTACAGTAATTTTCATTTAAACTATAATACAGGTCTATCATTGACTCAGACAACCGAGCGTGCACTGTATCATCTTCACTGTCTTGATCAACTTTTTAATGAATATATTTGAAAAAATCACGATAGAGTGAAGCCGCGAAAGTCGAAGTGCGAAGTGGTGAGGGACGACTGTATATTGATATTCTGACATTTACTTATCCAATGTTTTATTATTATATGAGCACTTATTTCCGATTGCTGCATTAAATACCTATGTGTGCATACAGCTTTGCACACCTGTCTGATTCTTTCTTTTTTTTTTTTTTTTTTATCCTCACCCGAGGACATTTTTCACTCAGATAGAGCGGGAAGGAGAGAGAAACATCGATGTGAAAGGGACACATCGAGTGGCCGCCACCCACACGACCCAACCAGGGCAGCCAAGGTACATGCCCTTAGCGGGAACCGAACCCGGGCCTCTGTGGACCACAGGCTGACGCTCTAACCGCTGAGCCAAACCGGCCAGGGCTGATTATTTCTTTAGGAAACAAAAAATTGAACTGTGGGCAAAGGGTTGCACTCAATCATACTACCTGATAGTCCTCCAGAAAGGCCGTACTGATTAACATTCATCCCAATAAAAAACAATAATATTATTTTCTCTACAAGTCCCACGAATGCTGAGCATATCAAACTAATTAATCTCTAATAATGATAGGTGACATAATTTTTTAAATCTGTATTTCTTTGATTATTGAATTTAAACATCATTTTTAGTCATTTGGCTTATGAAATACCTATAATTCTGTCCTTTGTCTATTTTTTATCATCTTAATTAATTTTTCTGACATACACTATAAATTGTTCTCACTAATTTGTCTTTTAGCTTTGCTTAATGGCAACTCTCTCCTTACACATTCTAATATTTTATATATATAAATCTATTATTCTTTTTTTTTTTTTTTTATCCTCACCCGAGGATATTTTTCCATTTTTTTGTTCAGGTAGAGTGGGAGGGAGAGAGAGGAACAGAGAGAGAGAGAGAAACATCGATGTGAAAGGAACACATCGAGTGGCCGCCACCCGCACAACCGACCAGGGCCGGGGACAAACTGCAGCCGAGGTACGTGCCCTTAGCGGGAACCGAACCCGGGTCTCTCAGGACCGCAGGCCGACACTCTAACCGCTGAGCCAAACCGGCCAGGGCTAAATCTATTATTCTTTATCGTCATGGTATCGGGCTTTAACATCTAGCCTTTCATCATCCCAATATCATAAAAATAGCCCAGCCAGTGTGGCTCAGTGGCTGAGCATCGACCCATGCCCCAAGAAGGTTCCGGTTCGATTCCCAGGCAAGGCACACGCCCAGGTTGTGGGCCCAATCCCCAGTGAGGGGCATGCAGGAGGCAACCAATCCATGTTCTCTCTCATCAATGCTCCTGTCTCTCTCTACCTCTCCCCTTCCTCTCTCTCTAAAAATCAATACAGAAAAAAATAATTTAAAAAATTTTGTTTAAATAGATCCTACATTTTCTTCTAGCACACGTCAGTTTATTTTGCTTTATTTGAATAATCCATCATTCCCTACTGATCTGCAATCCGGCAGTGCCCTTAACTTCCAGCCTGGCCTGTGAAATGTGCGAGATGACTCACCCAACTGCTGGGCCCACTGTATGGCAGTTCCAGTGTCTCCTGCATTGCCTTCAGCCAAGCACACAACCTCCCGTCCAATCTTCCACCCAATTAATGGATAGAAGCCTTAAAAACAAAGAATGTAATTCGTATGGTAAATAGGTGATTCACTGCAGAAACATCTACATTGGGAAAATGTAATTAACTAAAAAACAAGCGAAGCGGCTCTGAAGTCCGAGTGCCTGGGGTCTGATCTCGGTCCTCTCTCCTTTTCCACCTGGGGCCTTAAACGTCTCTCACCTCTGAGCCTGTTTTCTCAATTAAACTATAAATGCTCTACAGAGAGCTTTTGTGAGAATAAACTGCGTAAGACCTAAAAAGAATGTAGCACAATGCCTGGCATATAATATGAACATAAATATTAGCTTTTATTAGTGTTGCCTATCCATGTCTCTGGAAACACAGAAACAATATTTTAATTGAGAAATATATGGTTATTATGAGATTGGTTTGCTTGAGACTCTTATCTATTGCATTGATCTGTGGTTTCAGAACAAGCCTCCTAAACAAAAACAACCTCCTGCAATGATCAACCTTTTCTACCTTCCGTTTTCCCAGTCAGGGCAAAAGGAAGCGCTTTAGTGGTGATGGAAGGTAGGAAAGAGATTTTCAAATCCACCTCTTAGTAACCATGTCAGGGGACCAGAGGCCAGACTGAGTGCCCCCAGCCGTCCTGGGTATGGTCACACAACCGAGATTTCTGGTTTATAAGTCCCAGGATTTCCCCCAATAGGGAGAACAAACTCTTAGTAATTATCGTTCACAGGCGGTGATCACTAGTTGAGAACTATCACCTCAAAAAATTCACAGAAAGGACAATCATTTCTTACACATAAAAGATATTTTAGAGGCCTAGAACATGTTTTAAATACATATATTATAGGTAAATTTTTGGAAAGCTAACCAAAATACCTTAATTCTTCTTAATTTTTCTATAACCTCTCTCATATTTCATGCTTTTAATTTAAAGAAAAATGGGAAGTGGAGATTAACTGTCTCTAAGAATAATAATGAGAAGTATGTTAGAGAGTATCCTTAATAGAAAATGGGAAAATAATATCATGAAAGTTAAATTTGCAAAAAGTGGTATTTGATTAATCAAGAGGATCATTCTAATTATTTACCTCCAACATTCTGTTGAGGGTTATTTCCAGTGTTGATATCCAGGAACGTCCCAGTGCCCATGGTCAGCTTCACGTCCCCGGTCTGGAAGCAGCACTCCCCAAACATGGCTGACTGCTGGTCGGCCACCTGCCAAAATTCAAATGAAGGACCTCTGGGCCCAGAGCAGTGGCCCATTTCACTGGATCCCACTGTCTTACTTAATGTATTCTCTTGGTTCAGTATTTTCTTTTTTCCTTTTTCTTAAAAAATCTTGCCCTGGCTGGTTTGGCTCAGTGGTTAGAATGTCAGCCCATAGACTAAAGGAGTGCAGGTTCAATTCCCAGTTGAGGGTACGTACCTGTGTTGCAGGTTCAATCTCCAGCCCTGGTCAGGGTCGTGCAGGAGGGAGAGAAACACTGATGTGAGAGAGACACATCAACTGGCTGCCTCCCACATGACCCTGACCAAGACCAGGGACTGAACCTGCAACCTACACTATGTGCCCTTGACCAGGAATTAAACCAGTGACCCTTCAGTCCTCAGGCCAACACTCTAACTGCTGAGCCAAACCGGCCAGGGCTAATTCACGAGTTTTAAGTATCATAGGAATAACCTTAGAAATAAAAGTCAGAATAAAAATTGTGCAGAAAGTCCTGGCCGGTTTGGCTCAGTGGTTAAAGCATCAGCCCATGGACCAAAGAGTCCTGGGTTTGATTCTGATCAAGGGCACATACCTTGGTTGCAGTTTGTCCCTGACCCTGGTCGGGGTCATGTGGGGGCAACCAGTCAACGTGTCTCTCTCGCATTGATGTTTCTCTCTCTCTTTCCCCCTCCCTCCCACTCTATCTGAAGATAAATAGAAAAATATCCTCGGATATTTAAAAAAAAAACATTGAGCAGAAAAAAAACAAGATCTTTTGTTTACATCTTACAAGTGGTTTCACTCATTAGTCAAAATAATTGACCTTACAAATTTCTCCTTTAGTAAGAGTGATAGGTGTGCATGCTTAACTACAAATAGATGTAACTGAAAACCATCATTTCTCAACCATACACTTTTTATAAAAAAATTATAACATTCTGTTCATACAGTTACATGTAGAGACATACACAGCAATGTTTTAAGAAGAACACTTTCTTACTAATCTACAATTCTTCCAGCCATACCTTATCTAAACCTGAGAGTACCCCTAGGCTGAACAGGACCTATCCTCTCTAAATGCACAGGAATCTGTGACTTGAGCATTACATTCCCCTTCCCTCAATTTTTCCCTCCACCTCCCGTGGTGACTGTCCACCGAGGGACAGTCCACATTTCCTGCTGAAGCCGTTACAGGAAACCAAAGGCAAGTTCTGCACAGCCTCTCAAGCAGGTGGTAACCCTTTGAGACGCACTCATCCAGACGGAAAGTATGATCAAGAAGGAAGCTTCAAACATGAGACACTGCTAATTTTTCACTCTTCCACGAGCTTCTCTACTGGTAGATGCTGGCTAAGGATGTATAAAATGTGAACACAACTTACTTCTTTACTTTAATTGTTATATCATTGTTCGTGGTCACATTGTATGGAATATAAACAAAGGATCGGCTCTATTAATGTTTTCATAACAAATATAAACCAACATTACTCAGAATACAATATTTTTTAAAAAGTTGTTTCCTAGAGGTCGAAAAATGGCGGCGGAGTGAACGGAGCTACACAGACCGTCTCCCAGAACCAAACTGGAATTACAACTATAACACAGACAAATCGACGGGAAAAACCAACAGAAAAGCAGCTTGCGAGGACCATACAACGCGGGACACTGACTCCAGCCCGGTAGGCTTGCGAAGGCGCGAGACGGGGCTGGGAGCCCACGGTCGGCAGCTCGGCAGCGGCCTCAGCTGTAAGCGGTGCCCTCGGGTCACACTCCCAGGCGGCCCCACAGCGCAGCCGGGACAGAGGCTGAAACAGCAGCAGCCACTCACCTTGGGCTCCGGCGGAGGGAGGGCAGACTGGACTGGAACTGTGTCGGGACACTCGGGGTTTGGAGGGCACTCAGAGCTTTGGCTGAGTGCAGCCACTCAGGACGGTGGCCACATTGCTTCTTCCCAGGGCTCTGGGGAGAGGCAGCAGCCCCTCCCTCGGAGATCCAACCCCACCCTGTGGGCCATTGAAGTGCTAATTGAGGCTCACTAACGACCAGCATCTGCCCCACCCTCGTGAAAGCCCCTTGGCTGAGCACCAGAGGGAGTTTTTCAATCAACTGACAATCCAAAACTCATCAAGTAACCTAGACTGCTAGCCTCCAGGCAAAAAGCTAGAGGATAACAGTACCTTTCCTGGGCTGGCAACTTTAACCAGGAAAGTAAGACTTGACAGTGGTGTTCAACGTGGGTCCTCCCTCGCTCATCTAAACACAGGAGAGGGACCCACAAACAGCAGAACACCAACACCCACAGGGAGAACTTGACAGGCTCCAAAGCCCACAGTGATAGCTAAAATGGTGAAACACAGAAACAGAAGCCAAATGAAAGAGCAAGACACCTCCACCGAAGATGAGATCAATGTGGAGCAATTAGGCATGTTAACAGAGCTAGAATTCAGAGCCATGATCTTGAGGAAGCTGAACAGCATGAGTAAGGACATAGAGACACTGAAAATAAGCCAAATGGAAATTAAAAACCAACAAGAAGAGATAAAAAATGACATATCCGAAATGAAAAACACATTGGAAGGTTTAAAAAGCAGAGTAGGGGAAGCTGAGGACCGGATCAGTGAATTAGAAGACAGGGTAGAAAAAATCAACCAATCAGAAAAACAAAAGGAAAAAACTATTAAAAAACAGGAAGACAGCTTAAGAGAACTATGGGACAACTGGAAACGTAATAATATTCGCATCATAGGAGTCCCCGAAGAAGAAGAAAAGGAGCAAGGGATAGAGAATATATTCAAAAAAATAGTGAGAGAAAACTTCCCTAATTTGGTGAAGGAGGAAGGCATTCAAGTTCAAGAAGCACAGAGAGTCCCAAGTAAGAAGAACCCAAACAGGCCCACACCAAGACACATAGTAATTAAAATGCCACAAATTAAAGACAAAGAGAGAATCCTAAAAGCAGCAAGAGATAAGCAACAGGTTACCTACAAAGGGAACCCCATAAGGCTCTCAGCTGACTTCTCACAAGAAACCCTACAGGCCAGAAGAGAATGGCATGAAGTAATCAAAGTCATGAAAAACAAGAATCTGAATCCAAGACTACTCTACCCAGCAAGGCTATCATTCAAAATAGAAGATCAAATAAAGAGCTTCCCAGACAAAAAAAAGCTAAGGGAATACATTAGCACCAAACCAGCACTGCAAGAAATGTTAAAAGGACTGCTGTAATTAGCAGTAGAAATGGGAAGAAAAATAGAACCACACTAAACAAAAATGGCAATAAATAAGTACATATCAATAATCACCTTAAATGTAAATGGATTGAATGCTCCCATAAAGAGACACAGAGTAGCTGATTGGATAAGAAAGCATGACTCATCCATATGTTGTTTACAAGAGACCCACCTCTCAACAAAAGACTCACATAGGTTGAAAGTGAAGGGATGGAAAAAAATTTTCCAAGCAAATGGAAAGCAAAAAAAAAGCTGGGGTTGCAATTCTCATATCTGATAAAATAGATTTCAAAATGAAGACCATAACTAGAGACAAAGACGGCCACTTCATAATATTGAAAGGATCTATCCAACAGGAAGATATAACCTTGATAAACATATATGCACCCAATATAGGAGCACCAAAATATATTAAAAATCTTCTGGAGGACTTCCAAGGAGAAATTGACAACAATACAATCATAGCAGGGGACTTCAACACCCCGTTGACAGCACTGGATAGATCCTCTAGGCAAAAAATTAGCAAGGAAACAGAGACTCTAAATGAAGCACTAGACCAAATGGATTTAATAGATATCTACAGAGAATTACACCCCAAAACTACAGAATACACATTCTTCTCAAGTGCACATGGGACATTCTCAAAGATAGACCACATGCTAGGACACAAACTAAATCTCTACAAGTTCAAGAAGATTGAAATCATATCAAGCATCTTCTCAGATCACAATGGCATGAAACTAGAAATCAATTGCACAAAGAACATGCAAAGACATTTCAACACATGGAGGCTAAATAGCATGTTATTAAACAATGAATGGGTCACCGAGGAGATCAAGGAAGAAATTAAAAACTTCCTGGAAACCAATGAAAATGAACACACAACAACACAAAATCTATGGGATGCAGCGAAAGCAGTTCTGAGAGGGAAGTTCATAGCACTACAGGCCTACCTCAAAAAACAAGAAAAATTTCTAATTGATTGTCTAACCTCACAACTTAAAGAATTAGAAAGCAAACAAAAAGAAAACCCCAGAGCAAGTACAAGGAAGGAAATAGTAAAGATCAGAGCAGAAATAAATGACATAGAGACCAAAAAAACAATTCAAAGGATCAATGAAACAAAGAGCTGGTTTTTCGAAAAGATAAACAAGATAGATGGACCCTTAGCTAGATTCACCAAGAAACAAAGAGAGAGAACCCAAATACACAAAATCAGAAATGAAAGAGGAGAAGTAACAACCAACACCACGGAAATACAAAAGATCGTTAACAACTACTATGAACAACTATATGGCAACAAATTCGACAATCTCAGCGAAATGGACAAATTTCTAGAAACACACAGTCTCCCAAAACTCTTCCCGGAAGAGATAGAAAACTTGAACAGACCAATAACAACTAAGGAAATTGAAGAGGTAATCAAGACTCTCCCAGCAAACAAAAGCCCAGGCCCAGATGGTTTCACGGGGGAGTTTTACCGAACATTCAAAAAAGAACTAACACCCATTCTCCTCAAACTATTTCAAAAAATTCAAGAAGAAGGAAGACTTCCAAACACGTTCTATGAGGCCAGCATAATTCTAATTCCAAAACCAGAAAAAGACACTACGAAGAAAGAAAACTACAGGCCAATATCCCTGATGAACATAGACGCCAAAATCCTGAACAAAATACTAGCAAATCGGATCCAGAAATACATCAAAAAAATTATTCACCATGACCAAGTGGGATTTATTCCAGGGATGCAAGGCTGGTACAATATTCGCAAATCAATAAACGTGATACACCACATAAACAAAATGAAGAATAAAAACCACATGATCATATCAATAGATGCTGAAAAAGCATTCGACAAAATCCAGCATCCATTTCTGATAAAAACGCTCAGCAATGTAGGAATAGAGGGATCATATCTCAACATAATAAAGGCCATATATGAAAGACCTACAGCCAACATCATACTCAATGGACAGAAACTAAAAACATTTCCATTAAGAACAGGAACAAGACAGGGATGTCCACTTTCGCCACTCTTATTTAACATTGTACTGGAAGTCTTAGCCACAGCAATCAGACATGAAGAAAAAATAAAAGGGATCCAAATTGGAAAGGAGGAAGTGAAACTGTCATTATTTGCAGATGACATGATATTGTACATAGAAAACCCTAAAGACTCCATCAAAAATCTATTAGACCTAATAAATGAATTTGGCAAAGTAGCAGGATACAAAATTAACGTCAAGAAATCGACGGCATTCTTGTACATTAATGATGAACTCACAGAAAGAGAAACTGAAAAAACAATCCCATTTACCATCGCTCCAAAAAAACTACGATACCTAGGAATAAACTTAACCAAAGAAGTAAAAGACCTATTTGCAGAAAACTACAGGTCATTGAAAAAAGAAATAGAGGAAGATATAAAAAAGTGGAAGCACATACCCTGTTCATGGATTGGAAGAATTAACATAATTAAAATGTCCATACTACCCAAAGCAATCTATAGATTCAATGCAATCCCCATCAAAATACCAACGACATATTTCATAGAACTAAAACAAATACTTCAAAAGTTCATATGGAACCAAAAAAAACCCCGAATAGCCACAGCAATCTTGAAAAAGAAGAACAAAGTTGGAGGGATCACAATACCAGATATCAGGTTATACTACAAAGCGACTGTAACCAAAACAGCCTGGTACTGGCATAAGAACAGGCATATAGACCAGTGGAACAGAACTGAAAACCCAGAAATGGACCCAAGGCAATACGCTCAATTAATATTTGACAAAGGTGGCAAGAGCATACACTGGAGTAAAGACAGCCTCTTTAATAAATGGTGTTGGGAAAATTGGACAGCTACATGCACAAAAATGAAACTAGACCATCAACTTACACCATACACAAAAATAAACTCGAAATGGATAAAAGACTTAAATGTGACCCGTGAATCCATAAAAATTCTAGAAGAAAATGTAGGCAACAAAATTTCGGACATCATACGGAGCAGAATTTTCACTGATACATCACCTAAGGCAACAGAAATAAAGGAGAAAATGAACACATGGGACTACATCAAACTAAAAAGCTTCTGCACAGCAAAAGAAACAATCATCAAAATGGAAAGGCAACCCACTGTATGGGAGAACATCATTGCCAATGATGTATCAGATAAGGGGTTAATTTCCAGTATATACAGAGTGCTCATACAACTCCACAAAAGGAAGACAAAGAACCCAATTAAAAAATGGGCAGAGGAGCTGAATAGACACCTCTCCAAACAGGACATACAAATGGCCAAGAGACATATGAAGAAATGCTCAACATCACTAATCATCAGAGAGATGCAAATTAAAACAACTATGAGGTATCACCTCACACCTGTCAGAATGGCCGCCATCAACAAATCATCAAACAACAAGTGTTGGCGAGGGTGTGGAGAAAAGGGGACTCTAATACACTGCTGGTGGGAATGCAGACTGGTGCAGCCCCTGTGGAAAACAATATGGTGCTACCTCAAAAAATTAAAAATTGAACTTCCATTTGACCCAGTGATCCCACTGCTAGGAATATACCCTAAGAAGCCTGAAACACCAATCAGGAAGAATATATGTACCCCCATGTTCATAGCAGCACTATTTACAATAGCTAAGATCTGGAAACAGCCCAAGTGTCCACCAGTAGACGAATGGATCAAAAAGCTGTGGTACATATACACAATGGAGTACTATGCAGCGGTAAGAAAGAAAGATCTCTTATCCTTTGAGACGACATGGAGGGACCTGGAAAGTATTATCCTAAGTGAAAGAAGCCAAGCAGATAAAGACAAATACCACATGATCTCACTTATATACGGAATATAATGAACATAACAGTCTGAGGAATACAGTAGACCCAGACACATGGAAGTAGGGCACAGACTGACATCCCTCAGAAGAGGGGATGGGGGGTGGGGGGGGTGGGAAGAGATAAACCACAGAACTTATATGCATGTATGCATGACCAATGGACATGGACAACTAAGCCGGGGACAGGGTGGAGGGGGGGTGGGGTGGGGGGTGCCAATGGGGTAAAAAGGTAAAATATCTGTAACAAAAAAATAAATAAATAAATAAAATTCAAAAAAAAAAAAAAAAAAAGTTGTTTCCTAAAAACAATTCAGAGAGAAGTCAGAAAAGGTCAGAAAGTGCTTCGGGACAAAAGGCTGCCTCGCTGTCCTCTCCGGGGTGCAGAGAAGACTTCTGGTATAGCCAAGGTACTTTAACTTCAAAAGAAAAAAGACACTTTCATTTTAATCTGCAAGGACCTTCTTTGTCTCATATCTAATCCCAACTATTCATATATATTCATTTACTTTATACTATACAAAGAGAAAACCTCACATTTTCAACTTACCAAGGCCATTATTGGTATAGGCACACCAAATATCTCTTCATCCACTGATCCAAAATTGAAGCTTTAAATAAAATTGATTTAAAAGTAAGTTACAGCTCTAAAAATATTAATTTTAAAATTCATCAAATTGTTTTTGTATAGGCCAAAGATTTATATAATATATGTTCATAAATGCACCCCAACCACATAAACCAAATACTTTTTATTTTTATTTTTTTAATCCTCACCCAAGGATACTTTTTTTCATTTTTATCTTCAGATAGAGTGGAAGAGAGAGAGAGAAACATGGACTTAAAAGTGACACATCGAGTGGCTGCCTCCCACACGACCCTGACAATGGCCGGGGACGAACCACAACCGAGGTACGTGCCCTTGACCGGAATCAAACCTGCCACTCTGGTCCGCGGCCGACACTTTAACTGCTGAACCAAACCGGTCAGGGCAATACGTTTTCGTTTTAAATCAAATGCTTTTTCCTCACCAAGACAAAATGAAATCAGAGGCAGTTTTGCTTGTTTCTAAGTCCAATGCTCATTATTACCTGGTGTCCCTCACGGGAGGCAGGAGAGAGAGTGGTATCGAAAGCAGAGAAGTAATGAGGCCGCTCCAACACATCTGAACATAAAAATATGTCATCAGAATCCAAATTAAATTATACTAAAATTGAGGGTTCAAATAGGAGGGACAAAACCCTTTACCTCATATGGGTCAAAAAGTCCAGTTGTACTCGCGTTTGAAAAATCCGTGGCAAATTCAGAACCTAAATTTACATTGGAAATAATCATTTGTTATCAGGTAGTGTAAACATCTGTCCCTAGTTTATAACCTAGACTTTTTTTATTTTTTGCCTGAAAATTCATTCCAAAATGTCTATCTCCAGTGCAAAGTCCCCACAGCAAATCTCCCACTTCATGTTTATGAAGTTCATCCTTTACAAAACCCCTTTCACACGCACCGTCGCATTCTGATCCCCAGTCCAAAGAGGAAGGAGGGGCAGAGACGCACTGTGATCGCCCAGAGTTATGCCCAGCTGCAAAGTGGAAGACCTGGTACTAAACTCAGATTTCACCAGTCTTGAAATTAAGACTGTTCCTCAGTATATATTTGAGATTTCATCACAATTTTATTTTTTTGATATGTTTTTATTGATTTTTTAGAGAGAGAGGAAGGGAGAGGGAAGAGAGACTGAACCATCGATGTGAGAGAGAAACATCAATCGGCTGCCTCCTGCATGCCCCCCTACTGGGGATCAAGCCTGCAACACGGGCATGTGACCTGACCAGGAATAGAACCTCTTGGTGCAGGGGACAATGCTCAATCCTCTGACCTACCCCAGCCAGGCTCATCACAATTTTAAAAGAACCCTCCTCTTCCAACAAACCTGAAATTAATCATGCTTTACTATACTATACAGTTACTAGGGTACCAAAAGGCAACCTGTCTAGACTATGGAAAGGGAAAAAAAGTAACTTCTGTTTTTAGGCAAATCATTTCTATCAGTCAAATTTCAGTTACTTGAGATAGATTTATCAGATCATCTTTACCTTTTGTGAGCTTATGTAACAGCCAGGTATCAACAGTCCCAAAGCAGCAATTTTCTTCTTCAATTGCCTTTTGCACCTTGAAAACAACAGCAGCACAAAATCAATTCAAAAAGGTCAAATTATTAGGTGCACAATTAAGTGCCAATCAATAAATACAGTATCATCCCATTTGTGATCAAAATTAATATATATAGAGAAAAACAATTTCTAACGGTTTTAAGCAACTACTAAAGGGTATAAAATGCTTTAGTTTTAAAACAAGCATGTTACTTTGGTGATGAAAAATAAAGTATATACATTTTTTAGCTTAGACATACAAATATCTCTCAATCTAAATAGCCTAACACAGAGAATGCACACTATGGCCCACAGGTCAAACCTAGCCCATTGTCTGTTTCTGTACAGCAAGTTAAGAATAGTTTTTAAATTTTTCATTGGTTAAAAAGGAAAAGAAGAAAAGAAGAAAAAGAAGAACACATGAATAGTAGTACATGAAGTTCAAATTTCAGTGTCCACACGAAAGGTTTAGTGGAACGCGCCATGCTCATTTGTTTATGAACTATCTATGGCTGCTCTTGCAGAGGACTTATGACAGAAACCTATGTTACTATTACTATCTGGTATTTTATAAAATATATTTGCCAATCCATAGCATAAAGCATGCTAAAGGAAACAAAAGTATCAGAATCTCTTAAACTAGCTAGTAGAGAAACTGAAATGCTTGTTAGGATATTATTAACATACTGGAAAATAATTCCCTAAATCATAATTTATCACCTCTTTAACTCTTACTTGTCCTTCAAGACTAACATTTCCTAGTTTTGTTCACCCAGCACCCCAGGGGTATCTCCCACAAGCCATCACTTCATAGCATCATTACTTCCCTCCTGGACCCTAAGCTCCTTAAGGGTATTCATATTTATAACCCCAGCACCTAGGAGGGTTTCTGACATACTGCAGATGTTTCAAAGACTTCATCTAAGTGTTACATGACTTAAATATGGAGTGCTTAAAGTGTTATTATTATATTCAAACTCTTAAATTTAGAAGTTGTAATTCTAAAATTCGTCCCAGATTAGATAGAGGTTAATCTGTATTTTCAGTGAGTAGTATAATGCCTGTGGTAGTAAGCTCATGTGTTCATTAAACATGTATTTGAGAGCCAGGCCCTATGATAAGTTCATGCCTCTGTAAGGCTAGGACACAGAGTAGGTATCAGGCTTCCTGAAGTCAGAGACACATCAGTCCTCCTTGCCTTGGGTTAAGACTCCAGATGTTGAAAGATGAGATTACTTTGTTACCTATTTCTTTTTTCTTATTTATCCTCACCTGAGGACACTTTTGCATTTATCTTCAGATAGAGCAGGGCGGGGAGGGAGAGAGAAACATCAGTGTGAGAGAGATACGTCGACTGGTTGCCACCTGCACAACCCCAACCGGGGCCGGGGACCAACCGCAACTGAGGTACGTGCCCTTAGCGGGAACCGAAACTGGGACTCTCCGGTCCACGGGCCAATGCTTTAACCGCTGAGTCAAACCAGCCAGGGCTCTTTATTACCTAATGTCAATCTTTTGTTGACAGAGAAATACTTTGTACGATTTCGGCCCTTTTAAATTTATTCAGGCTTTCATGATGTAGTATATAGTCTATCTTAGAGAATGTTCCACATGCACTTAAGAAGAATGTCTATTTTCCTGTTGTTGGGGTTTTCTATACATGTCCATTAGGTCTAGTAAGTTTATACTGCTGTTCAAGTTTTCTGTTTCCTCGTTCATCTTCTTTCTAGTTGTTCTTTTCATTATTCAAAGTGGGGTACTGATGTCTCCAACTATTACTGTTGAATTGTCATTTACCCTTCAACTAGGTCAGTTTTTGCTTCACATATTTTGAGGCACTGTTATTAGGTACATATATGTTTATAATTATTACATATTTCTGATGGATTGACCTTCTTATTCTATAAAATGCCTATCTTTATCACTGGTAAGATTTTTGTTTTAAAATTATTTTGTCTGACATTAGCATTGTCACTTGGCTTCATATAGATGCCATTTGCATGATATACATTTTCCTTTTTATCGATTCCAGATTACATAAAAATTATTCTGTATTAGTTTCAGATGTACATCAAAGTGGTCAGAAAATCATATACTTTAGAGAGGAGTCTCCCCACAGCTTCAAGTATTCACCCGGCCCCAAATTTATTTATCTTGACATTATTGACTATATTCCCCAGCTGCAATCTACAACTCTGAGGCTATTCTGAAACTACCAATTTGTAATGCTTAATCTCTTCCCCTTTTCCAACTTGCCCCCCCAAAATCCCTCCCTTCTCCCCGCTGTCAGTCTGTTCTCTGCTTCCATGAGTCTGTTTCTATTTTGCTTATTTGTTTATATTGTTCATTAGATTCTACATATAAGTGAAATCATTTATTTATCTTTCTCTGACCTTTTTCACTTAGCATAATACCCTCTAGGTCCATCCACGCTGTCCCAAAAGGTAACATTCCTTTCTTTTCATGGCCAAGTAGTATTTCATTGTGTAAATGTACCACCGCCTTTTTATGCGCTCATTTACAGATGAGCGCTTGGGTTACTTCTAAATCTTGGTTATTGTAAATAACACTGCAATGAACATAGGGGTGCATACATTCTTTCGAATCAGTGTTTCAGGTTTCTCTGGATGGGTCACAAGGAAATTCCATTTTTTAAAATATATTTTTATAGATTTTAGAGAGAGAAGGGGGGGAGGGAGAGGCAGAGAGAGACAGAGAGAGAGAAACATTGCTCTGTTGCCTCCTGCATACACCCTGAACAAGGGATTCAACCCACAACTTGGATTCAACCCACAACTTGGGTATGTGCCCTGACCAGGAATCAATTTGATGACCTTTCAGTGCACACCAGCCAGGGCCCATTTTTAATTTTTTGAGAAACCTCCACAGTTTTCCATAGAGGCTGCACCAATCTTCATTCCCACCAACAGTACACAACAGTTCCCCTTTCTCCATGTCCTCCCCAACACTGGTATGTTGATTTACTGATGACAGCCATTCTGACAGGTGGAAGGTGCTATCTCATTGTGCTTTTGATTCGCATTTCTCTGATAATTAGTGATGTTGAGCAACTTTTCATATCTCTATTGGCCATCTGTATGCCCTCTTTGTAGAAGTATTTCTTCAGAAGTGTCCCTTTTTAAATTGGGCTATTTGTTTTTCTGGTGTTGTCTGGGTTCTTTATAAATTTTGGGTATTAAGACCTTACCTGATGTATCATTAGCAAATATCATCTCCCATTCAGTAGGCTGCTGTTTTGTTTGTTGATGGTTAGCTTTACTATGCAAAAACATTTTAGTTTGATGTTTTCCCATTTGCTTATTTTTTTGGTTCCCTTCCTGAGGAAATATATCAGAAAAATAAGAGAAATGTCAGAGAGTTTACTGCTTATGTTTTCTACAAGTCTTATGGTTTCTGGTCTTCACTTAAATCTTTAATCCATTTTTTAGTTTATTTTTCTTTATGGTGTAAAAAGGTGGTTGAGTTTCATTTTTTTGCATTATCTGTCCAATTTTCCCAACACCAATTACTTTATTTATGTTCTTGCTCCCTTTGTCAAATATTAATTGACCATTTAGGCATGGTTTATTTCTGAACTCTATTCTGTTCTATTGATCTATGTGTCTGTTTTTATGCCAGTACCATGTTGTTTTGATTACTATGGCCTTGTAGTTTGATGTCAGGTAGCATGATTCCTCCAACTCTGATCTTCTTTGTTAATATTGCTGAGGCTATATGGAGTATTTTGTGGTTCCATTTAAATTTTTGAATTATTTGTTCTAGCTCTGTGAAATACATCATTAGTATTTTGATAGGAACTGAATTGAATCTATACATTGCTTTGGTTAGTATGGACATTTTAATTATGTCCATTCTTCCTATCCATGAACACAGGATATGCTTCCACTTATTTGTATCTTCATCAATTTCTTCCTTCAGTACCTTATAATTTTCTGAGTACTGGTCTTTTACCTCCTTCATTAAATTTATTCCTAGGTACCTTATTTTTATGCAATCATAAATGTGATTGTTTTCTTAGTATCTCTTTCTGATAGTTCATTATTGGTTATATAAAAATGCCACTGATTTCTGAATATTAGTTTTGCATTCTGCTTCTTTCTTAAACTCATTTATCAATGAATTGGTGGCATCTTTAGGTTTTCTATATACAGTATCATATCATCTGCAAATAATGAGTTTTATTTCTTCCTTTCCCATTTGAATGCCTATTATTTCTTGTTGTTTGATTGCTGTGCCTAGTACTTCCTGGACTAGGTTGATTAAGAGTGGAAAAAGTAGACATCCCTATCTTGTTCCTGATTCTGAGGGAATTCTTGTAGTTTCTGCCCACTGAGCATGATGTTGGCTGTAGGTTTGTCATAAACAGATTTTATTATGTTGAGGTATGATCCCTCTATTCCAACTTTGATGAGAATTTTTATCATAAATGGGTGTTAGATTTTATCAAATGATTTCTCTGCAACTACTGATATAATCATGTGATTTTTATACTTTACTTGGTTTATACAGTGTATTACATTTATTGGTTTGCATATATTGTACCAACATTGCATCTCCAGAATAAATCCCACTTGATCATGGTGTATAATCTTTTTAATGTATTGCTTGATTTGGTTTGCTAATATTTTATTGAGAATTTTAGCATCTATGTTCATCAGGGATACTGGCTTATAATTTTCTTTCTTGGTCATGTCTTTATCTGGTTTTGGAATTAGGATAACGCTGACCTCATAAAATGAGCTTGGCAGACTTCCCTCCTCTTGAATTTGTTGGAATAGTTTGAGAAGGATACATTTTCATTCTTCTTTGAATGTTCGGTAAAATTCACCTGTGAAGCAATCTGGTCCAGGACTTTTGTTTGCTGAGAGTCTTTTGATTACTGCTTTGATTTCATTACTTGTAATTAGTCTGTTCACATTTTATGTTTCTTCTTAATTCAGTTTGGGGAGAGTGTATATTTCTAGGAATTTCTCCATTTCTTCTAGATTGTCCTATTTG